GTGTGTGTGTGTGTGTGTGTGTATACATATATATATATATATATATATGTGTGTGTGTGTGCGTGGGTGTATGTATGTATGTATACACATATATATAAATATATATATATTTATATTATGTGTGTGTGTGTTTGTGTCTGTGTCTGTATCTGTGTCTGTATCTGTGTCTATATGTGCGTGCGCTTATGTCTGTGTGATTGCGTATGTGGTTGTGCGTTAATATGTTCGACACATATAAATATGACATATTTTGATATTCGCAATGTCGCATAAACCCTATGACGGGAAAATCGGACTGTTCCGAGTCCACCGAGGTTATACAACAGATAAGTGCGAGGACCTGTTTGTCACATGTACATACACTCCATACCTACCAGCCATACAAACAGGCACCTATGCATACTTACCAACAAATCACATATCGCCGAGGTTTTTTTCACCCTCTTGTCATCCTGTTTTCAGCTTCGCCAGCATGTGAATCCACTGGCACGCCCCTACATTGAGCCCCAGGTCTACACAGCCGAAGAATGGAGGGACGTATACTCACAGCGTCTACGGCCACTGCACCTGGATTTAGGATGCGGCTTGGGTGTGTATGTTTTGGACGTCCCTCTGAATGTTCAAGTGCGTTCATGAAGTATCTATGATTTTGGTTTTTATGTTGCAGTTTTTTTGTCGTTTTATGTATGTGTGCTTAAACTTCACGCGTTCTAACTGTATGTCTGTGCGTTTCGGTTCTACTGTGTATCTCATGTAGAGACTCCTCTACGTGTGATTTGACTGCGTATTAGCTATTTATACATATTACGGAGTTGCACATTGCTCGCTTGCACGTGTAAGTCAATTTTGTGTGTTTCAGAAGCTGGTGTTGTGTATCTTAACAGCAAACACCTGGAATACGTCTGTTTTTGGCGTGTATATTCAGCTGATGCATTCTCAATTCGAATCGGGTCTGGGCTGTTCTGGCGTGCGAAGAGGTACACAAATTGATGTCCACCGCTAGTTTCCGGATGGTATATTCATGAGTGCACTTATTGGCTTCAGTTGTGTGGCTTGTTGTGTGTGCATGTGCTTCATCGCCGATGGTGGGTCGTGGGTTGGTCTCTGCTGCTGAGAGCACACTCGTCGCGTGATATACGTTGTTGGAGCTGTAGGTAGATACGGTATACTGGACGAAAGCTGCGGTGCGCCTTGTATGTTCTACCATATTTGGTAGTGTTGTTCTAAATTTCCTGCCCAATGATCTCACGACTACCGTCGTGCTACCTCCTTCTATACAGGAGGCTATGTCAAAGGTGTTGCAAAGGACTGCATTGGCTGGAATTATCTGGGACTTGACATCCGGCAACCGTACATAGACTATGCTTCTGCCAACTACGCGAGCGGTACGAATTTGTGTTTTTTTTATTACGTATTCGCTTTTTCATGGCTTTACTCGCCCTGCGAATATATGCGTACAGCGCCTTTTGCGATTATGCTTTGCGTGAGCAGTCCGTATCGTTGCGGTCGGTGTGTGTGTTGGCACGTTGTTGGTACGTATATGTGGTCTGCTCCAGCAGCCTGTTGCGCTGCTCCGGGCACCCGGCAATTGTATAAACTGTGCCACCTGGACGTCGGCTTCACTTGTGTTGCGCGAGATTGCTAGTAGTCAAACTGGAATTGGTGGGAGTATCGGTGGGTGTGTACGTAATCATATGGGTATATGGCTATCAGTTCTTCCTTGGAATACGGATGTATCCTCACTCGCGGTTCATTGTTGCCTCGTTATCCGCGATGCCTCTTGTCTGTCAATTCGTGTCGGGTAGTGCTTCAAATTCTTGTATTTAGTTCGGGTAATCTTTGCTCACAATTTACTTGCCGTCCACCCATGTAGCCCACTGTCTTTATCTCGAAACTTATATCACTGACTCAGAAACTCTGTCATCTGGACAGTTTTTATCCTGATATAGCATCAATCACCTTGAATACTGTAGATAGGCCGGTCAATGCATTGTATCAAGCAATCTTGTGCACTCCTTTCTGCAGACTCTATCCAGTATAGGCAGTGCAATGTAAACTTCAACCTAGAGGCGCTGTTGGACTCTCTTCCGGTACCTCTGTCCTTCGTCTCCATGCTTTTTAGGTATTGATAGTGCTAGTTACAAGCCACGTACCTATGATATGTGAGCACTTGTAATCTATTTATGTGATTATGCCGCAATACAAAACATGAAATTGTCATTCTATGTAGGTGTGCGTACGTAGGTGTTTTTTCGCGTGATACTTCGTTTCCGTACGCATGCAGAGAAATCGCATGCAGAGAAATCGTTAAGTTTGCCCACGCCTGATGCACGGCAAGAGTGTATGAGTATGCTCTGAGGATTATGCAGACTTATATATCTCCATTGGTACATTAAGCGCATGTAATCCCTTTCACCTTTGTGTGTAGTTTAGAATATGAACATCAATTGCTGAAGCAATATGTGGAAACAAATATGTGTTTTATTAAGTTAATGATGCAGCAAGTGATACTTTTTTTTTTGCAAACGTAAATGGTACAGCATGTGGGCCCCGTATGATATATCGTTATATCGTTACGTACGTATCAAATTCGCACGAACATCGATTGTTATGTATCTACTTTGTTCGACCACGAATATAAACTGACATAATATAGCAGATTTCGATATGAGCTGTTATTCATAGATTTCAGTATTCATCTACGTCAGGCCTAACACAGCACACTGAAACTCCAATCTCACATAACCGCGTCATATCGATCATATCTTATTCGCGCCTCCTTGCAGTGATCCCTGGTGGAAATCCACACACGTGAAGAGGCGCATGGTAACACCGGAATTGATACAAACACTGACTAAGCACATGGGCAAAAACGCGAACACACAGCCCGATCTGCCCAGATACATCTATGTCAAATCTGATGAGCAGATTGTCATAGATCAGGTATGGATTGCTTAGCAACTGACTGTGTCCATGAACCCAGTACTCTGCAAGACCAAAGCTGAGCAGTACACTTACAATTCTCTTTTTCTTGGATATGATGTCTCTTCCTGGATATGATGTCATTCCGGGACTATGCGTTCGTAATACATGGCAGCTATGTCTAACCTGTATTTTATCTCCTTTGTGGGCAGGCGTCTATCAGTATAAGCAAGAGCGGAACACCGTGGGTATGCGTTGCAGGTACCTTGGAGAACAACCATGACCAGCACTTGTTAAGCGCTACCAAAGTAGAAACCGAGAGAGATATAGCGTCGAAAAGGCGTGGTCGACCCATTTATTCTCGGCTATGGTCATTGCGTACGGAATAGAATACTACCAGATATAAATAAATCGAAATGAAGTAGAACTGGCGTGTGGAAAGCGAACGTCGTCGGTAGGAGCTGTAGATAAAGCCAAAGATATCAGATATCAGCTCTCCGTTAGCGCAACTCCATTGCAAACTGAGAGAGTCGCTGAATCTAAATGGCGCGCGAGTGCCCGATTCGTATTCATACATATTGCTTAGGGGCGGAGATGTGACAGCAGTTACCCGAAGATATCGACTAATTTTCAAAACTATTTATATATATAGCCGACAGCATTTCAACTGCTGTATTTAATAGAAACAAATCGTCGTTGGGCCAAGCTTATAGCAGCATAAACGGCGCTCTCGTCGTGTACTTGTCGGGTGTATGCATCCATCATTTTCAAAGTGCCAATGAAATTAATCAAGTGAAATTTATCAAACACTACTTTTAAATTTTAAACTTCTAAAGTGTAGAAACAGCCAACAAGGTCTATATTTTATTTGCCCAACAACATATGGCATGTATCATACAGCACGGATACTGTAGTCGAATCAATGTACTGCAAATTGATGAACGGCTCGATATCCTGTGGAACATTGATATCCAGCTTCGAATGTGAATATAAACATAGTGGAAAGTGGATGGCTAAAGATAGGCGTTCTCTGTGTTATATAGAATACAATATTCAAGATGGCAAAACAGCGAGTTTGTTGCTCCCGACATTTGAGTATGCGATTTGCGTTATTTCTTCTACAATAGTGTGATTCGTGCTGCGATAGTCTCATTTCACAGCGAATCGATTATGGAGATTTTACACTTTACGATTCTGAATTCATTGACACCGTAAATGCGAGTACACTGCTAATAAATTCCAGAGGCCAATTATAGGGTGTTGATGTAATATCTGCTTCAACTTGATTCATGTCTTTATAGGATGAGTGTAAAGTTTGCCAGTCGTGTGCTGCTCGGGCGCAAAATAATCGCACGCGAATGTGGCAGTGGTACCTGCAATTATATATTTATTGCGACTTATGATATCGAGAAAAATAACTAATTTTCAATGAAAATGTGTATCTTTCATGAACTACCTGTATGACGCCATGCATACACAATCAGATCGCATTATTAACTGAATCGGAGTTGCAGAACTCGATCAAGAACTTCCACTGACAACTACGTTATTTCCTTTATTATAGTCTGATTTGTGACGTGGTAATCTCATTCCAAAGCAAATCGATTAAATGTAGAGATTTTAGATTTTAGATTTTGAATTCATTGACAACTTGAAAGCCTTAAGAGCGAGTACACTGCTAGTTGATTCTCCAGGCCAGCTACATGATGTTGTCGCAATATCCGCTCCAGTTTGATTGTTGTGCTAGATTGAGTGTAGCGTTTGCCAATCGCGTGTCGTTCGCATACGAATTAATTGCTCGTACTTACTACTACAAGTGAATACGATATATGACATCGATAGCAAATTCTAATACGCACCTCTAATGAAAATGAGTGTATTTTATGAACTACCTGTAAGGCGTCACATATACGAAGGTATATCGCTGTAAACAGGATCGGAAATATCAGTTGGCCACACCATAATATACACTAGCCTTTATACCCCGTACATATCACACACCAGAGATACACCTCACACAATACTGTAAAGTCATATTCTATCTACATGAAAATTGCGCAGGCACAGACATAAGGAAGCCTTGCCGGCAAGTCTGAGACTTTGCGCAAAGGAAATAACAAAGGCACAGCAGAATCTAGTTTGTCTTTTCTTGCCTCGCTGTAATGAAGGATGTGACGGAGAGGAAACTCATTGAGATATGTCTCATTTTCGTTATATTATGATGATCACATATATGCTGCTGGAATGATGATTTTGAAAATACACGTTTGATGGCATGGGTTGAAATTAGCCACCAAAGATACATATTGTGAAGACTGTGAGTGTGAGGCTGATAAGAACTATTAATTCACTGGTCTGGATTGAATGAACTGCCGGATGTCGAGATTTGCTTCTAATTGTTAGCTTCCCGATACCGCCAATAGTCTGCTATCAGCTGTTTTTAAAAAGAAATCACAGAGAAACAGACTACCGAGTATTGAGGCAATATTTGAAAGCTCAATAACATTATCTCACGCGAATTTTCCGCTCAGGTAAGCTTTGTTTCTATGAAGTAATGATGAATGAACCAGAAGCCGCGTAATAAACCAGAAGCCAATTAATGAACAAGCCAAGCTCTAGCCTATGCATCTATTGCCGTGAAAATACCAAGATAGATGGCGCATTTTGTTAATATTTAGCATAAAGGAGCGTAGAAAAGAATTTCTTTTCTGTATTAAGAGCAAACCTGTGTTAGAACTTGAACTCCCCCTCCATGCTCATGATCAGCTCATGATGCTACTACAGTGACTACAGTCACTACACTACAGGTATTTTGATTTTGCTGGTGCAAGCGTAGTTGTCAGTTGTGATGGAATGTTGATAAGAAATGCTGAAAAAGAAGTCTCATTGGTCACTACGTGTATAGATCTATAGAAGTAACGATCACCGTTCCAAAAATAATCAAATTGGCTTTTCTATACGTAATAATTGTAATTTATTAAAATAAGTGAAGCCGTATAGAGGTATTTCTTAAAAGTGTCTAGTATGACCTGGCCATATTCTGATATTCATCAATTGGGTCCTGGATGGCCAATTTATTTCGGGATGACATCCAAACTACATAGTCTTAAAAAAAAAAATATATATATATATATATATATCTATTTATTTTAAAATTCAAAATTAATACACCAAATTTAAAAATTTACTGGTGATCACCTGCCCAAAGTTGAAAGTTGAGGTCATTTCACATTTGGACAAGGGATCCACAGGAGATTTATTTCGGAAAAATAAATGCTCTTGTTTGTTTATTTTATTTGACATTATATATTTATGTTTTTTTAATACACAAAACAAAAAAATTGTGCACAATACTTTAAAAAAAAAAGCATGAGCTAGTGCCTGGGCTCCATTGTAAAGTCTGACTCAGGTCCCAGGGCTCAGGATGGCTGCCTGGGAGAGGGAGCCTGGACTCTGGAGTGGTGGTATCATTGGTATGTATTTAAATATATATTATTGCATAGCCTTTCCTAAAAAAGACATTTTGGAGTATATGTAACCTTCTAAAAATTATTAAAAATAGACGATTGGAGAGTTTGTGGGAGTCTAGACTCAGAACTCTGGGTCTGGAGGCTATGAGTTCTAGTTTGGTGGTTTTTTTAAATGTGTCCGACTGTCCGACATATCGAAAATATTGGCGTCGTATAAAGTGTTCCGGACATGTCGGTAACCTTTCCGACCTTGTCTGTCTACTTTTCCGACATTTTGTTTAAATTTACCAGAATACAAGAAGTGTTGAAATAGAACACCGCTGACGTCGGTGGGGAACTAAAAGCTCTGAAAAGAGGGGAAAAAGTTAATTTATATTTTTGGGGGTTCGTACCCTTATTTGTTTTGCGACAGCGCGCAGTCGTGGAACAGCTCAAGAATTGAATTTATGTTTAAAAAAAACCCCCCCTTTATTATCTGGCCTGCTATTATACGACAAAGATATGTCTCATGAGCAGTCTAATTCGCATTTGTCTTCTCAGAAGAATATTGTGACGTTAGCATAATATTGTGACATATATTGGACTTCTAACTGTAATATAAAAGTAGTTTCCGACGGTCATAAATGTCGTCAAAGCGAAAAGTGCGATCGTTTTATAGATAAAAATCAGCCCAGATTATTTCAAATGGACTGTACAGTGTACACTCGAGTTTATTACTATTGTTGGATATTATCTGGTGTGTGCAGTAGCGAGTTGCGAGTTGCGAGTAGCTAGTAGCGAGTAGCAATAGCGAGTATGTACTAAATATGTAGACTATGTGCTATGTAGCGAGTATGCGAAAACTCGAAACCGTATGGCTATGTATGATTGTATGTATTTATTTCGTATCTTCTTCTTGTCAGTCCTCACGACGAAACCCAAGTCCCCAGTCCTCAGAGCTCCTCGACTCCTCGACCTCACTCCTCAATGAGTCCTCACTCCTCAGTCCTCACTAGGCTCACTCCTCACTCCTTTCTCTCGGTTTCTCCTCACTCCTTTCTCTCGGTTTCTCCTCACTCCTTTCTCTCGGTTTCTCCTCACTCGCCACTCGCCAGTCGCCACGACCTCACTCACATTGGGCTGGTAAAAGACGCATGTACTCCATACCGGGCTGTCGGTCGTTGTCGGTGTCGGCTGGGGTGTTGTCGGCGCTAAGCGGCTAAGAGCGCTTCAGAATGCTTCTGGTGCTGACATCTACTACTATATAGAGAAAACCTGTTAGGCCAATGAAGCCTCTTTAAATTTTATACACCAATAATGTAATCTCAATTTTAAATTACAAAACATCAACTACACCTGGACAAATAAACAAAATGCACCTCAACATCTCTCCTTCGAAAACTTCTGAAGTCAAAAGACAACAGTTGAAATTTCAAGTCAAATTAATAGCACGTGTGCGTTTAACGCTTTCAGCTTTTCAAATAAAAAAATAGAATTTATATTTATTTCTTCCCCAGCGGGGGGTATACGTGTTACGGGACACATATGTGGAATTTGAATTTTATGAATTTATGAATTACAGTACTGGGGTAAGAATTATGAATTTTGAAATTTGGCGATTTGATGTATATAAATAT